AAGTTTGCAACATTCTGAGCAGTTCTTCTGGGTTGATTCTTTTCATTAATTCTTATCTCATTATCCGTAATAATTGATTTCAAAGCGTTGAAGTTTGCGAGTCTGTCTTCACCCACATTCTTGAGTTCATTAAGTACAAGAAACATTTTATTTTCAACTACTGAATTGAAATTACCCGTTAGCTCACTTATTTCGGTAATGTTTTTACATGAATAACCAGCGAGAAGTTCAGAAATAATGTCTGTAAATCTGTTTTTACCTGTTCCCTGAAGTCCTTTCAAAATAATTGCTGTTTCATTCTTGATTCCGGGATGTTGAATCATTGATGCAATCCAGCGAGAAGGTATTTATACACTTCATCGTTATTATCACAAATGGCTTCTTTAATGAAATTCATAAACATCTCAATTTTTGAGTAATCTGGTTTTTCGAGAACGTTGTATTTATAACCTTGAAACGTTGAGAAAACATCTGGGGAATCAGATTTAAAGCAAACACCCTTAACGGTTAATGAAACAATTGATTTAGTAGTACATCCCATGCTGTTATGGTTTTACCTTTTTTTAAATAATTTAATCATTTTGAGTGACTCTTTCATGTTTGACTAAGAAACAAATGATATTTGATTCATTTTGTCGTGGATATTATAGTCCTTTTGAATGAAATATTTATTTCCACAATCTACAAACGGATTACACGTGATAAATCCTCAATTACTTCAGAACTGTTTTTATACTGATGATTTTCAGCCTTGCGTCTAATATCTGTTATCAAAAACGAGTCATCAAGTTTGATATCAAATGTTATTTTTGGCTTACGTAATAAAGGTAAAACATATTCATCATAATATTCCTTTTGATATAGTTTTAGAATCTTCACTAAAACAAATGGAGAAGTCATTAAATGTGCATATCTACTACGTGCTTTTTCAAAATTACTTTTTGCATTTTCTGTTAAACTGCAGAAGTTATAAACGTTATCGTATGCTTCATTAATTAAATGATCCGGTAACGAATTAATAGCTTGAAACAGTGTGAATAATGTTATTTCTTTTCTAAATTCATGTTTCCACCGTCATTATGTACTTCAAATCACAGATGCCATCAACTATGCTCTGAGCTAGTTTATCGTCAATGTTTACATCTTTGTTTTCATTCATGATAGTCTTTATTTCTTCATTCTCTGTTCAACTCTTACCTTAATATTCAAATCATTTAAATATCATTCACTTTCTAGTTAATGTTGAATCAACTTCCACGAATGAATGAGTATGTATTGATTGGTCTGTGTTGCATTCTTGCGAACTCTTGAATCAGCCATAACCACTAAAGAACGCTTTGAATCATCCATAGAAGTCATGATATCAATATCATAATCATTGCAGGAATAACATTTAATCATTCTGTTCGAAACTGCCATAGAAGAAATTAGTGTTGCAATAAATGTGAAGACCTCCTGAAGCGGTTTTAACGATAACATCTTATCCGAAAGTTTTGATAAAATGTCTTTTCTAACTGTTTCTTTAAGTTCATCATTGTACGATTTATTGATATCAACATCTATAATCGTTAAATTTGATATTTTATTTACTAATAAAGCCATACCAGTTTTCCTTCCTCTTCCTCCATCATGTTTGAGGTAGTTATGTAAATCAATCCTGTTTTCACCAATTCTTTCGTTGAGGGTTTTAGTTTCTGCCACAACTAATTCCTCAGCTAATGAATCAATGATATTTTCATCAGAAACGATATAGTTGTTGCTGTTGTTTGTTGCTGTCATTTATATAGGAATAAAAAAATAAAAATAATTCATAACTAACTTTATCCTGTGTTGTTGTCAAAATGTCATGTTGTCACACTTTTTCAGAGAAGTTGAATTACCTGGTAGCACATGGTAACATGGTAGCACCTTCAGTTCTTCAAAAATAATTCATAACTACCTTCCTCCTGTGTTGTTGTCAAAATGTCATGTTGTCACACTTTTTCAGAGAAGTTAAATGACCTGGTAGCACATGGTAACATGGTAGCACCTTCAGTTCTTCAAAAATAATTCATAACTACCTTCCTCCTGTGTTGTTGTCAAAATGTCATGTTGTCACACTTTTTCAGAGAAGTTAAATGACCTGGTAGCACATGGTAACATGGTAGCACCTTCAGTTCTTCAAAAATAATTCATAACTACCTTCCTCCTGTGTTGTTGTCAAAATGTCATGTTGTCACACTTTTTCAGAGAAGTTAAATGACCTGGTAGCACATGGTAACATGGTAGCACCTTCAGTTGTGCAAGAAACTACCTTCCTCCTGTGTTGTTGTCAAAATGTCACGTAAAGGCTGAAAAGTTCAACTTTTCAATAACGACTAAAACAAGCTTTATTCGTAAGTTGAAGTTCTGAGGTCATTTATTTTTGTCAGCAATGAGGTCATGAATGAGGTCATGAATGAGGTCATTCGTGATAAAAATAAAGCTAGCGTAGATTTTACAATACTGCGATGGTAGAGTTTAAGAGTTGTGCTTCAATGTAGAGACAGTCCTTATGGTCTGGAGGCAAGAACACTGGACATTTATGGTCATGAGTGGAGAACATGTCTATCCAAAACTCACGATTGAAGCCAGTTAATTTATAGTATTTAGGGTTAGGAAGTGGTGAAGTTCTTGTATGACCAATGAACTCATTTTCAACGCCTTTGGCTATATTAGAGTAAAGTATTGCTTGCTTTCTATCCCAAATGCCAGGTGTTACAATCTTTGAAAATTCATTTTTCCTCGGAAGCATTGCATCATAATTGAAAACATTCTTAAAATCATCACTTGGTTCAGAGATTTGAAATCTTATACGTAATGGATTTTCTTTCTTTTTAGCGACTTCATTGAATGGTGAGAATACAATGAATTGACAGTCATGAGTTCCATCTTCATTTTCATTAAATTCATAATGAAAGTCTATAAGTTGTGGCTGACTACCTTCTTCCTTCAGTTGTGCAAGAAACTCACGTAAAGGCTGTAAAGTTTGTACTTCAATGTTGAACTTTTTCTCGAACATCTCATTAAATGAAATCATACATTGCAACAATGTTGTATCGTCTTTAAAGTATTTGTATATGTGAATGTTTTGGGCGCTTAAAGACTGTTCGTCATTTTCTATCTCGACTTGAAGTATAAAGTCAACCTTTCTGAAAGCACGTGTTATATACATAGATGTTATGCCAATGTACTTCTCTTCATTTATGTTCACAATCCAGTCTGTTGGAAACTTAAACGTTACTCTGTTCCCCTTTATTTTGACGTCAGGGTTTTCACTACTGAACGCAACAGATAAAGGTATTTGTCTATACATTTAGTTTGGATAAAAATAAACCATTTACTCTTTCTTTGCTTCAGCTTCCTTTGCTTTTTGTTCTTCCTTTGCTTTTGCTTCTTCTCTAGCTTTTTTCGCCAGCAAACGTGGGTTCTTCTGTCTTCCAGCAGCTAATGCAGCTAGTTGTTTTTCACTAAGTTTTCTCTTTGGTCTCTCTGGCTTTTGTTCTTGTTTTTGTTCCTTCAGTTCGGATAAAATTTGCTCGCGAATTTCTTTCTTCAATGCTTCAACATCTATGACCCCTTGGGTCTTGTCCATATGACTTGTCTGAGTCATTTGACTGTAGATAAAAAACTAACTTAAAACTTTAACCGATGTAAAATGAGCTTGTCAAAATCAGAGCGAGAGTCTATTATATTAAATGACGCAAGAGGAATACAACATCCTTTCTATTACGTAAGTCAGAGTAAAGATGGTAAAATATACGTAAGAAAAAGAAAGGTACCATTAGCGAATGCAGAGAGCGACAACATTAAGGTGCATGGCAAGGGTGAAGTCCACGAAGCCCATATAAAACCTTCTGTTCAAACTGAGCCACCAAAAGAACAAGAAGAAAAGAAGCCAGATGTACTTTCAATAACGAACCAAGAGCTTATTGCAAAGTTCGTGAATTTCATTGAAAAACAAACCGAGTCAAAGAATCCTGACCCGCCAGTGAAAGAAGTTGAGACAAAAGAGAATGTACAGTTCATTGAAAATGTCAAGAAACAACTTCCACCACGAATGCCAAGAAGAAGAGTGAGAATAATGAAGTAAATAGATATTTTTATCTGAAGTAAATACATGCAGAACGAACAGCTAAACGAATTTACTCCAGCAGAGCATATTCATCAGATTCGCTCATATTTCGATATCATAGACAATGCAGTTCAAATTGGTGACACTAATAGAAAATATTCTGACGCAAAGATTCCATCACAACCTGGAACTGCTAAAGATAACACATGGGTAACATTCAATCTCTCACCTCCTGGTGAAAATATGTTGGACCTTTACAATACATTCATTACGTATAAAATGGAAGGTCAATTTATTGTAGATAAAGAAATTGGTTCAGGTTCCAATAAAACAAACCACCAGGATTTTGGATTGGTTTCGATGACGCTTTCTATGCAGTTGCTGGATATCAAATCCTTGCAAATGGTCGTATCGTATATTCTCAAGACAACGCAAGAGAAGAAGCATATATAACTTCAAACTCACAAACTACCGAACAAATAAAGAAAGTAGATGTTTTCTCAAAGACTCGACATGAAGATGTATGGAGTCATTCGGAACATGCAGAACAGGACAAATTGTTAGTGGTCCAATTACAGCAGGAAAATCATTTGATTTTAAGCTTCGTTTAAGAATTCCTGTTAGAAGATTCCTTCCATTAGAAGCTATTCGATTTATTCCAGCTTTTGCAGGAAACATTCAGCTTAAAGTAAAGTTCAGTAGCGACGCCTTACAATGCACATCTATATCTGTAAATGATATCATTGCTTTCAATCCAACTCTTAAAGTTGCATTTGCTTCAGATTCAAATCCACCGACAAATAAATTTGTTCCATGGAATGAACCATTCACTATGATAACGAAGGCAGTAGAAGCTAGTGGAACAGTTACTATTACAACTGTAACCCAGCAACTATTTCGAACAAAGATGGATTTTAATGAATGTTTCATTCATCCAAAGTCATTCTCTTTAGACCCTAACATTTATACAGAACTTGTAGAACATTATACAAACGAGGCTTTATGTTTTCCTGTTAAAGTTATGGATTGGATTCCTATGGACGGTTCATTCTCAAAGAATACAGATAGTTCAAGTGCAACATTTACAGCAGCTTATACGCCTATTAATGTTAAAAGTATTTGGGCACTATTTAGAAAGAAAGACAACTATTATGTTAATTTTGAGAACCCTAAGTTTAAATATCTTCAGCTTTCCATGGGAGCTTATGGAAATATGCCTGCAGAACCTGAAAAATCATATGGACCTGTATTTTATGAAATGGTTGCGAACGCTTGCAATACAAACAATGATATGATAGGATTTAATGAAGATGTTATGAGGTCATTGGTGGATGATGGTAGTGTGGAACATAAATGGGATAGCTATGACAACACACATTTCTTATGTGGTTTTCCAACAGAAGTGGACTTTTGCTTCCAACAAGGTCAAACATCTACTGCTCCAATAACATACAAATTGTCTGTTAAAGGACCTATTGAACTAGCAACTGAAAACGTACCAAAGCCACTTATTGGATTTATGAGGGATTGTTGCTTTGCCATTCAGGTGCGTGCTAATGGAATCCCAATAATAAGATTAGATGACTATAACTTAGCTACGGACGACAGTGAGGAATAAAGGATGAACGTTTATTTTTAAAGCTTATAAATGAGTTCTTCATCAAGCTCTCGCGAACCTTCACCATCTATGAAACAAACTTTACCAAACGATTATGGAGCACCTATTGAATATTTCTTACGAGCTGCACAATGGCAAAGAGCAGTTTCACCAAGGTTAGGTGTTCCACCAGCTCCTGTCAAAAATAGCATTTGGTCAAGTCCTTATATAAGATATGGTCTCCCACTAGGTTTGCTAGCTACAGCAGGAGCAGTTATGATGTTGAAAAGAAATAAAGCAAATGTTGTAAATAATACTGAAGTAGCTGAAGTTAAACAAACTCCAACACATTCGCCAAAACCAACGCCTTCACAAGCAAAACCTTCAATAACTCCTGAACCTATGGAAGTACAAACTCCTGTTCAAAAGTCAACTCCTAAACCGACTCCAACATTTAAACCAGAACCTACTCCTCAAATAAATCGTAAAACTCCTGCGTTTCCTTACTGAAAAAATAACGTTATTTTTATTTAATATTAAAATTTTTATTTGATTGAAATGACGACTAAAGTCACTGAAGCAATGAAACAAAAGTTTTTGGTAGAATACATTAAATCAGGAACTATTCCAGAAGGTTTTTACATTCATACTATGAAGGATGGTAGAGTTCAGTTTAGAAAGATAAAGCAACCATTAGATAAAGAAGGAATTTTGAGAAAGATTAAACTTCATGAGGACAACATTGCTGAACTTAGGAAGAAGTTAGAAGAGTTGGAGAAAGCAATGAATTCATGAGGTGAAAAAACAGGTGAAAAAACAGGTGAGATCTCACCACTTCACCTAAATTATATTTTTGCGCTATGTTTTCATACGTGTGAGGGTGGTGATATCATTAATTTTAAGTTTATTTTTAAGTTTATTTGGATGTAAATGACGAAAACTATTGAGATAACAAACTACAACGGTCATGAGTTCAAGAATTTGTTCTTCGTTCCTCGTGAAAATACATTCTATCAGATACGAGGGAGAAAGGGTAAAGTTAGTTTGAGCGTTTATGACAACAAACATAATGGGGGATATATAAAAGCAATAGATACAAATGGTAAACGTGTTTCATTAGCTTTGTCAAAACTTACAGGTATAAACTATGACAGTGATTTTGACCTATATGAAGAAGAAAGTGAGTCAGAAGATTATGAGCTGTTATGTGAAGCACAGCAATGGAAAGAGTTGCAATACTTTTGTAAATGAGAACGTTAGTGTGTACGTTAGTGAGAACGTTAGTGAGAACGTTAGTGAGAACGTTTATTTTTTCATGCACGTGCATTGTGTCGCGGGGAGTTGTCATGGGCAATGACCTGCGCACAATATATAACGTACAGAGAGGTGAGATGAGGTGGTTTATGTGATAAATACTTTACGTGGCAGAAATAGTTTAAGGTTATTAGAAATATTGCATCTGCGATGTAAAATATACGTTAGTGGTTTTGTAAAGTGTCAGGTTGACATATCTTCGGTAAGATGGCGCGCAGTGCCACCGTACTGAAGATATGTATACTAACTATTGAAGGGTGAGAGGTATATAGTATGCCTATATGCCTCTCACTCTCAGATTACATTAACGTACATAAAAAATATTTTTAGATTGATTTTTACTAACCTGAACCTCGGAGTAACGAGGTATTCGTAGATATGATGTAGACTATTGTTTTAAACGGTAAGCTCGGAAACTTTTGTTAGATAACTTAGCATTCGAAGTCACTTTTTGAACTTTCTGCGCAAAACTGTAGCCTCGGAGTACCGAGGTATTCGTAGATATGATGTAGGCTATTGTTTTAAGCGGTAAGCTCGGAAACTTTTGTTAGATAACTTATCATCCAAATCTACGATTTGCAATGAATCATCAGTAAGTAAATAGTTGTATTAAAAAGATGTAAATACGATAATATTAAGTGTTTATTCGTAATGATTTGAGAATTTGTTGAAAATTTATTGAACTTGCTCGAGATTTTCATTTTCTGAACTCGTCAATGCTTTCCTTAAGGTTTTTTAATTGACCGTCGACTATCCAGAATGGTTCTTGTTCTGGATTTCGATACCAGTGATCATCAATTTCACTGGCCTCGAATTCATTCGGCGTAAAGTAAACGTTCGTTTCAGGATTCACAGGCAAAGAAGAATGGGGCATATTATTGTAAAATCTGATAACCCGTGGAAGATCTGATTCTGACTTGCAGTTTCTTTCCACGTATGGCCACCATCTCTCAATCTTACCATTTGCCTGTGGATTGCCCGGTTGAATGAAAATATGCTCAATTCCACGTTCAACCAAAAGTTGATGAAATGAGCTTTTATTTTCAAGGCCGTTATCAGTCCAAATAGCGTATGGTGGTTGAGGTAGAGTACTTAATGCTCTTTTAAGAACTGCAGTTGTATTTTGAGCTGTTTTTTCGGTAAATAAATTAAAATCTATGATTTTTCGCGATCTGTCGTCTATTATCGCAAACAAATATTTGCCTATTCGTTTCCTCCAATAGTGGATATCAGCATGCCAAATTTGATGACATTTGGATGCTAGATAATTTCGAGGAATGTATTTTTGCTGATTTTCTTGATTTTGAGGGGGAGTATCTGCAATAATCGCTTCGTGTATTTTCCTGCCCATTTTATATGAGGGAGAATCGAAATTTTTTGTAATGTATGTTGCCGTTTGAAGAGATTCGCGTAATGATATTATTATTCAATAGGCGTACCTTCTATTGGAGTCACAACTGGAACTAAAGTTGTCGCGTCAAACTTCATCGAGCCAGTTTCCAGGACATCATAATTTATTTCTCCATTTTTTTGAATTTCTGATTGAATTTTTTTGAAATTCTTCTGGATTCTTCTCAATATTGACAAGGTCTGTTTTCATTTTCTGAATAATTTTATTGATGCCTGCATCGGGCATTAAATCTTTCAAATTTGCATAAGCTTGGCAGGCATCAAGATTAATTTCTATTTGTTTTCTTCCTCTTTTTGGAATTAATTCCAAATTATTTTCTCTGACAAGCTTTTTGAACATGGTTTTGGATATTTCACGAAAGGTACCATTATTTAAACGGGCCTTTTTGCAAATATCCTTTAGCTTCATTCCAGAGTTAATTTGTTGAACCGATTCCTTTAGCCATTCGATGTCAACTAATTTTCTGGAGGTACGATGCCAGTGATATGGATCCATTTGATTTTTGTAAAAGTTTACAAAAACTTCCATTCTGAAAAATAGTATGGATTTGATATAAAAAATAATATGTAATGGTGTAATATTGATTAAATAATAAAAATAAGTTTTTTTTTAAAAAATAATTTTGGCGCCAAAAGTCACTTTTTCTAGCGACCCTTTTCGGTATGGTATATGAATTCACATTTTTTATTCCAACATCAGAAATCTTCGAAGAATACGATTCAGAGAGTAATCATACAATTTTTATTTGGATTGAAGACAGCTTCTTCAAAACATCATCAAACTACACTAAGACATCCGAATTTGTTTTCAATTCACCAATTGTTTCGGTTTCAACATATAATTTCAGCAGATTCCACAAGACAACAAACAAATTTATCAATATTGAGGGAAGTATCGAAGATTCGGACTGCACAGGTCATATCTCTATCTTTTACAAATTTGATGATTATCCATATTCAGAATTACATTCAGAATCCATGAACACAGAATGTATTATTTCATTTTCTAACGAAGTTGAATTTCCAACAGCATTTTCAGAATCTGTTCACAGTATCACAATTTATTGCTCAGATGAACACAACAAGAAATCAAACGAAGAACATATTTATTTTTATTATGAATACAATTCACCCGAACTCACAATCAACACATTCGAGAACGGTCCATATCATCGATGTTTGAACAAGAGTATTCATCTTGAAGGTCAGATTGTAGATCTTGATGGCACAGGTCTTGTCACTATTCGATGTTACATTGACAACGACATCATTGACACTAAAACTATTGAAATTTTAAATATTAATGAACATCCATTTTCCTTTGATCTAGAATTTCCATCAGAACTGACTGAATCATTACATCATCTTATAGTAACAGCAACTGATGAATCAAATAAAACATCTACTCCTTTTCGATCAGCTTTTCAATATTTTTATAATTCACCATTATTATCAATAACAACAAGAAATAATCAGACATTTGTCAAAGATGTCAATAAGAAGCTTTATATTGATGGTTTTGTTCAAGATTCAGATGAGCGAGGAACATTTACAATCAAATACAAACTTGATGAAGAAACATTTAATGATTTAACAACATTTTATATTTATGATAATAATCAACGTCCATTCACCGAATCAATTGGAATTGATTCTATTTCATGTGGATTTCATTCAATTTATCTTTATGTTGTTGATGATGATAATAAAACATCATCACATCAACCATTAACATTTTTTGTTATTCCTAACAGTCTGAAAGACAACAAACACAAGAACATCCTTTCGATTCCTAAAACAATTTATGCATTAACATTAACTATTTCAAAATCTTCTAAATAAAATCCCTGCTATTTTTTGTAATATTTAGCTGAAATCATGTTAAAACATCTGAATAATACGCTCATTTATTATGGTTATCAAATGTAATTCTATTGCATTTATTTCAATTTATTTATGATTATCAAAATATTTGCTTTTTCTTTCACAGGTAAAAAATCCATCAACTATATTAAATCAATGCCTCATCAAATCCATCAACATGATATTTAATTTTATTAATATTTAGATCCCAAATCAGCTTGTTAACATAGTTTGTTTTCACTTATCTATGTTAAAATTATTAATTATACTATAAAATCATATTTATTTAAATATTTTTTTATTAATATTTTATCAAATTGAAAGAACTCACATGATTTGAAGTGGAAAAATTACCCTTCTAATCAAATATTTTCCATATTATGTGTTTCCTCTTATGGTTAGTCAATGTTCGTTTTAAAATTTTATTGATTCCC